TGATACGGTCGACTTCTTCGACCGAAAAAGGCTTTGGTAAGAGTAACTTGCAAAAACAAATTCTTATAGGTTATTGAATAATAACTTTAAACTTTCTTGTTTTAAATTACAGGATTTGACCAGCGGGGAACAAAATTACCAGGCCCAGCTTGGAGGTGAGGCAGGAACATCCGTATGCAGGCATATAGTATAAGTAAAACATCTGTATGTCATTTATTAAATTTTGTAACCTATTTATAAGTATATATCAAAATATTTTTGACAATGTCATATACCAAATGACTTGTGTATTTAATAAAAATAAATTATTATATTTTTAATGAAGAATTTTAGACTTATTAACAGGATATCGTATCAACGTCTTTTTAAAACGGTTTGAAAATGTGCGTATCAAAAACAAAACATGAACTTTTGGAAATTGAATCGAAAATTTCGCATTCTCAAAATTAAAATAAATATCGTAGGTGCAGAACCTGGGTCAAAACGTTTTTAAATGTAAAACGTTACATGCGAATTTGAAAACGAAAGTTTCTCTGTGTATGTGTATGCATTTCTACGCTCTTATATTTACGTATAGTGACATCTGAGTTTACCTACCAGCATAAACAAATTATTCTATTCTCAGTTTGTTTACACAGCTCTTAGGGACCAACTTTATTTGAAACTTTCACACAAATGCATATTATCTATAGTATCCACCTCAATCAATATGCGTAGTGAGTATTACTTAGCTTGCTTGCTTGCGAACTTTTTATCGAAGTCCTAAGCTTGATAAGCAACACAATGAATGTATGTAAATATGAATGCATATGGACACATTTCGAATGCAAGTATATATAGTTAGACCGATTGTCCAACACAGAGTCAACGACGTCAAACTTACTTTATCTATTAGTTGCAACTAAACCAGTTAAATATTGGCAGGCAACAACATTGGTAAAGTGTACACATGCTACACGCACACAAACGTGCAAATATCGAATAGGAAAACTACATTACGTATTATCACCTATCGATAGCAAACACAATGGCATGGACTAAATGCCATAGTAAATATGCAGTTTAATGGAAATAAATTGGAAAAATTGCACAGGTCATTTGCACGGCATTTCAATAAAATACGAGCAAAATAAATAAGTAAGAAAAAGGACATATGCATGCCGGACACAGGTGCATAATACTACAAAAATAATATATGTGTCGGGGTCACGCAAAAGCAAACTACAGCTAGCCATAGACGTGCGCTTTTATTTGTATTTGGAATACATACAGCATTTGTTTGTTTGTGCATGAGTATTAGCTGTGCACATACACTATTATTTGCACCTCACTTCAAATGCACTATATGTATATTTCAAAGCTTGCTGCATGCCTGCCTCGGCACAAGCTTTTTATATGCAGCGCATTTTGCTCAGAAAGTGTATAAATTTGCATTTTTCATTGCATTTATGCTGGGTCTCTTTATTGAAAATTAAAATCTGTTTCGGAATGAAATTTCACAGAAATTCGGCAGTCTTTTGCATTGCGTGTAGTAAATACATACATACATATGTACAATTGTATGTATGCATTCGAAGAAATTTTTACAATTAATCTGTCGAAATGAATTTAAAACATCGCTGTCAGTGATAAAAATTTATGACTAGAAAAATGTTTGCCTAGGAAATATAGTTAGATTATTTGCAATAAAATTTTGATGAAAAAGAGTTGAAAAGATGAAATCTATAAATCGAGCGTTTTGAAAGACTTTTAACAAGAACCACTTTGAAGTTAATGAACGCTGAAGTATAAAGAGCATTTAAAACATTCATATATTACAAGTATGCTGTTCTTTAATCGACTTAATAATTGCAAAAGCCTTATATATGTAAAGTCAAAATGCAGTCCGTCCTTTCGTAACCATTGAAGATGCATTCTGCCGTTATAAAAAATGTTGATACCATCATTCTGGAGCAGTGATTTTCGTTTTATGACACATATCTGTCGTTGCATACGAAGAAAAACGCACGAGTATTTTGACGGCGATAAAGGACGGGTAAAAGAGAACGCGCGATAAAAATAGGAGTGGCGGAGCGAATATTGAAACAAATCATAATTACATCACAAATTGGAGGAACAGCTGTGCCAAGCACTTTGCAAAAGTGTGAGTCGCAAAATATTACAATTAGGTTCTTTTCTCGTACAACCCGGAACGGATCCGGTATTTAGAGACGAAAAATTTACTCTAAAAAATGGGAAAAATATCGAGAAGTACGGGAACGCATCTCAGCTGCCGATTCAAAAAGCCCCTATCTCAGCACATTGTCAATATATTTTCAAGCGAGAGCGGGCGTTTATGCCTTTATGTTACCGAATTCGGAGATAGGGTGTTCTTCAACAAAATTCAGAGGTGTTTGTTCAATAAATTGTGAAATAGGGCTATTCTGAAAAGTTTTTTGAGATAGGGCACTTTCGAAGTGGCTGCCGACCTATGTAGGGGCTCATTCAGCGTCGATATATAGTGCAGATAGGACAACGTAATAACAAGTAGTGACACAAAATCCGCACAGACTTTTGATTTGACCCAAAATTTTTATGTATGTATATGTAATTAGATTGTCCCAAAAACGAAAGTTTTTTTTTGTAATTTTTTGGGTTGTCTTTGGGTTGTTGGCGTGTTTTGTTAATTTGGTATTTCTTGGAAATACGGTATTACTATACTCCCTGCAGTATTACGGCATAATATTTAGTAACTGCATTTGGTTTTTTACCGGACTCAGGATTTCCACCTATATTATAATATATATTTTCAAAAGGTTACACAATATATGGATATATGGTTATCAATTGAAAGAAGAATTCAAAACAAAATAAACTGTAAATTTGTTTTCAATTGTCCTTTTGGCACATGTCAAAAATGCCCTTTAAAAATATTATCCTTCAAAATTTTAATTTTGAATGCATTTTGAAGAAACTTGTTTCAGTTATATAAGTTAGTTATATAAGGATATGACAGGTAAGAAGTTTCAAAGGATATTTAATCAAAAAAAATTCAATCATGCCAACATATTAAACATTTTGAGATGGAGATTTACAAGAAATGCGGTCTAATATGGGAAACATATGGTAATTCCCGCATTTCTCTAGTCTTCAATGACGATTTGGTAACTCTGATTCAACGTTAACTAATGGCCTTCTTCACAAACAATAAAGTACGGCTTAATAACTTTATAAAATGAACGTTTTCATAATAATAGTTTGGCGCTTACACATATGTTAGTGTTTGACCGAGCTGCTCCCCCGATTTGTGGCGTGCGCCCTGATGTTGTCACACAAAGCGGAGGGACCAACAGTTTAACGCCGACTCCGATTGGCGATTGTATTTTTATGAGAAGCTATTTTTCATGGCAGAAATACACTCGGAGGTTTGCCATTGCCTGCCGAGGGGCGATGTTGCTTTGACCAGGGCTTGAACCCAGGCGTTGCGGAGTGGAAGCGCGCACTGCTTACCACTACACCACAGCGGCCGACGGCGTTTTCATACATTTTCAATTTATAGAACTTTTTGAAAGCTACTTAATTTTTTATGAATACGGCTAAAAATTTTTAACTAAAAGTCGGAACGGGTTATCGTTCTCCTAAGGTCATAAGACTTCATATAGATATATGAAATTTAGGCTAAAAGGCACAAACACAGGGGGTATGCATATGAAAATTTGGAAAAAAAAAAACAATATATTCTTGGGACAGTCTAATGTACATATCACCGTGCGACAGTAAATTTTACACACAAAAAATGAATATATTCGCGAAAATATGGGAAAATATTGTAAAACTGCGTACCTTGTTTTTCTCATCGACGTCTGAATTTTTTCTTAAAGGACTTTAAAGTTAAAAAAATTATTTTAAAAATTCAGTGCAACAAAAAACTACAAAAAGGTATCATATAAAAGATTTTTTTTTTTTGGTGCGTAAGGACGATTGGTTATGGAAAATTTCCTTTACAAATTTTTGTTCTTAAATATCCTTGAAAATTCGCAATATTTATTTTTGAAAAATGTATTGTTTGAGGTCTAATATACATACGACCTCATCATCGAAGTTAGTCCAGCAAACGTTATTAACTTAAAAAGATAAAATTAATTAAAAGCGCATTTTCAATACTCATTCGTCCTGGTAAACCGAAAAGTTTTCTTGTTTTTAAATTCTATAGAATTTTCTCCCTCATTTGGTACCCATATTGGAATCCTACATTGCACTCATTTTTTGAAATAATTTTTTCAACTAATCATACCTTTAAATTTCAAGGTCCTTTGAAATAAATCTTGACGCCAGAGTGAAAAACTAAAGACGTAGTTTTACTATATTTGGCCCTTAGTTTCGTGAGAATATCGATTCTTTCGTGTGTTTTGAAATGTTTTTGTTTTTGTCGCACGGTGTAATAATATATGTGATTTCAAAAAAATATAGATTCAGTACCGAAATTGTTATGAAATACCACAATAGCACACTACAAAAAATAAAAACAATAAAACATTTGCATAACTATCGCCGCTGCATACATTTTTTATTGAACGTTTCATTAATAAATTCAGTGACAATAAATACCTAAGGGACCTTTTGACGCATAGCTTTTGATTTAAGCATCAAATAAGATAATCAACGCCGTTGAAGTATTTACAATGAATTGAATTTGCGAGTATTGTATAATGAATGAATGCTAGGTGGTATTTACGAAAAAATTTGTTAATTTTGAATGTAGTCATTGCAATAATAATATTTAAATGATTCTTCCACAAGCACTTTTCGATTTCCAATGAATAATTTCATGTGAATAAATGTGCTTTATAACAGAGTTAGGTTTTTGCTACATACATATTTTCCTCTCATCCAACGCAATCACTTAATTTACAATTTATGGTAAATGTTCATTATACATATGCCCCAATTTATTTTATTTATATGCTGTAAAGTAAAATAAATTGTTGTGGCTAAAGTGGTTTTTAAATTTTCTGACTTACCCTTGCAACATTGCCGTATAAGCAGACCAAATTGAATAATTTATCTGTATTCGATGTGTCGTGATCCAAGCCATAAACCATCATGACAGCACCCTGGAGAGAAGGTATAATTTCCTAAAGTTAAAATCCATAAATGTATATAAACTACAAACGGCCAACGGGTTTTATTTTCAAATTGATTAATTAATTAGTTAATTAATTGCAAATATTGTGAAGAAGAAATGAAAGAGTATATTAAAATATGCAATGGTATATGTATATGCGTTTGTATGTACGATTGAATACGAATAAATATGTATAAAATAGTACTGTAATGCTAGTAAATACATATGCATAAAGTATGAAGAAAGTATTGCAAGCGAGCGTAAGCATAAGGGTGTAATTATGTTGTATATTTAGGTCCACGCATATCGTCGTTTAAAGTACAACACCGCGTATCAACAAAATGCAAGATAATGCAAAACCGCGTATGTGAGGTTGCATAAATAATTTTCTAGAGAGTAAAAATACTCATATTTCAAAATGGTTCTCTTTTTTATAAAGCAATCGCATTTCTGACTAGTATATTTCAGGACGAATGGATGAGGATTGAGCCAAGAGCTTGTGAGAGCAAATTCAATTTTTGGCAGCAAATGTCAGTTACGCGGTTTTTCAGAATAACGATACGCGGTTTTGTACTATAAACAACGATATGCACACTCACTTGCATTACCGATTTTCTGCCTCGTTGCTGCAGATTGTGCCAGCGCAAGCGTGCGAGCGCCAGTGCGTATACGCAACCCCAACAACCAGATACATACGCAACACGCCTGACAAAATCGACAGCAAGTGACAGTATTTAACGTTTACAACTACATACATATGCATACTGAAATATATGCATACACATAAGAATAGTAAAGAAGTGCATTCGATGCTTCAACGACTCACCTGTCCTTGTCCCTGTGCGGCGAATGCGACCGGTGCATTGCGTCCCGGCACTACAGCTGGCTCCTTCATCAGTCCGGTCGTATGTATGGTTGCGCCCTTCCAATTCTCCGGTGTGGTGGGATGGAATTCAGCTGCGCCAAATTGTGGAAAAGCAGCACCGGGTCCCAGCAGTGGGGGCTCTTTAAATTGACAAAAATTGGTTGGTGTGGATATGAGGCCAACTAGATATTTGCAAATGTGTTTTTTTTGAGTCGTTTTTGCGTTTTATTGTATTTAATAATTTTAAAAGTTTTTATTTAATAAATGTTTGCAATTGAATTTAAGATTTTTACGTGTTTGTAAAAGTAATTTATGTAGTTTTTTTTTTTAATTGGGCGTGCGTTAATAGTTTTATAAAAAACAAATTTACGTTTAACATTTGGCCATGCAAAATTAATTAGGTTTTTACGGATATTTAAGTATTTAAGAGTTTGTGTTTTTGATTGAATTTTCCAGTTTTTCGTGTTATTGGTTTGATGATTCGTATATTTTTTGTAGTTATTATTTGTTGGTTTTGATGCAGGACGCAAATTAACACATTTCAACAGTTCCAAAAAAAAAACAAGGAGACAATGGAAAATAAGGAAGAAAAGAAAGGAAAACGAAAAGCGCAACATTTAATGAATTGTTTGATTTGGTTAATTATATGTGAAAGGAATTTTGTATGTAAATACGCGTACTATAGGATAATAAATATTTGTGGCATTTTATTAAAACAACTTAAGTGACTTGAAAAGTTTTGACTTGGATAATTTTATATTTATATTAAGCTTATATTGAAAAGGCATCTTAAACTAAACTAATGGCTAGTTAGAAGAAATATTGCGTTTAATGCAAAATGGCTATTCTCGAGGTAAATTGTTTTTATAAAAATGCCACAGATATAAATATGTACATATTTATGATATCAATGCAAAAAGTAATAATAACATGTTTTTCCATTTATTGATAAATTTGTCAAAATTTAAATGCGACTATTAGGGTCTGTACAAAGGTCCTGAAAACATTTTCAAGCAATAGTAAAAAAGGTTTCCTTTGTAAAATTTAAAAATTGCTATTTAGTGGCTTGTATATAATTTATCGACGGTACATGCACATATCGACTGCTGAGTGGAAGATCGACCTATCTCGGCTGCCAGTTCGAAAACTTCCTATATCAAAAAACTTTTTAAGAACGCCCAATTTCAGAATTCGTTTCAAAAATGTTCTATCTCAGCTGCCGATTCAAAAACGCCCTATTGCAGCACGATTTCAATACATTTTGAAGTGAGATAGAGCGTTCTTCAAACAAATTTTGAGATAGAGGGTTTTCGAACTAGCTGCCGAGATAGGTTAATCTTCCACCCAGGTGACGATATATAAATAAGAATGAGGAATATGTTACGTACAAATATAAAAACAACGAGAGCAAGGGTATACAGTGACTCAAATAAGCGTTCACATGGGGGTTCTTTTTTTTAAATATGCATGTTTTTAAACTAATTTTTTTATAAAAACATTGTTCATGCTATAAAAAAAAAACATAAGCATAAATCAAAGTTTCGAACTTTATACAAAACTTTGGATAAATAAAAAAATTTCGAACTTTTCTACCAATGTTTTGTTTTTTAGAAAATTTTCGGGTATGCAGTTTTCTAGCCTATAAAGTTTTGCTATTATGAATTACAAATTTCAAACGGCTAAACACTCGCGTTGTTACGAGCTTTTTTAAAATATCTTTTCGCTGATGGTTATTTGGACTTTTTTCATTAAATTTTTAATGACAATGTTGGGCATTTAAAAATACTCGTGTCATTACGTTCATAAACGTAACTTTGTATGTACATATATATTTTAAATTAAGAGAATTATAGCATAAGCTTTAAACCATCAAACAGACGACTCAATGTAGTTTAACAAACGTATTTCACTTTTAAAAATGCTAGATATTTTTGGAAAATTTTAGGGATTTTTTTCGGAATGTGCTTTATTTTGCGGGAACTTTTGAAATTTTTCGGGAAATTTTGGGATTCTTCGTGTCATACATTTCGGAAATTCCGGACTTTTCTCTATTATTTCAGAATTTTTGAGGAACTATTATTGAGTTTTTGGGATATTTCGGGACTTTTTGAGTTTTTTCGATATGGCTCATCGTATTTTATTTATTTCTCGAGTTTGTGGTAAATAAAAAAAATCGGAACGTTGCGAGATACTTTGGGTATAATCCGTTTTTTGAGAAATTTCAGCGCCAAAGTAACATTTAAATCTCAATTTGGATTTTTATGAATCCCTAAATATTAACAAGTAATTTTTAAGCAAAACAGAAAACTGACTTCAATGCTCATATAAATTTTAAGACTATTGTTACTTTCTACATGATCTAATGATCGGATCTAAACCAAATTAGTATGGAAACACCTCGCAGGTACCACCATTATAGAAATCAGTTAACGTGGTCCAAAGTTATACGATAACATACATAAAAAAAAATATTTCGACGAATTGATAACCTCCTCCCTTTTTGAAGAGAAAATAATTGGTACTTCTAGCTCAAAGTAATAAAATACCCAAAAAAAAAATAATTACTAATAATTTTTGCTTTTTAATATATTGCATCAGCATTAACACTGACTTAAAAAAAAAAAAATACCGAAAGAAATTTTTTGATTTACCCGCATATTGTATACTTGTAATAGGAGACAAAAGTAATCGAATGCTCCGAGAAGATAACGTTTCATTATTAAACGTGAGGCGAAAAAAGTTAAAGAAAAATTACTGAAACGTTTTTTTTTAGTAATTTATTAGTCTGGTCCTACAACTATCAATTGTCAAGTAAACAATTTGCCACAGAATTCCTGTAATTAAGATGCATTTCTGGAATTTCTGAATCCCAGGTGCCACGAAAGTAGGCTTCAGTTTCTATACCGGGTTAAATGGCGAAATTTTAGTCAACTTTTTGGACCAACCACCTCGAGATATTCTCGATAGAACTAAAATCAGCATAAGAAGCACGCCAGTCGGTGAAGGTAATGTTATTTCAATTTAAACTAGTTTTTTTGACCTACTCGTACCATTTTTCGCCTTATTCTACCAGAGTCTGAAGCTTTGCTGAAGATACAGTGACGAACAAAAGTATTGGCGCAATGAATTTTTCGCAATATATGCAAAGTTTTTCATTTTAATTTATTTTAGATAATTTTTTATAAAAATATAGTTCCTTTTACACCAAAAAACATAAAAATAAAATCTCCAAACTTTGTGCAAAACTCATGGAAATTCATTAAATTTGCACACTAATTTGCACTTTTTTATTTAGATTTAAAAAAAAAAGTTTAAGGATGCAGTTTTATAATCCATTCAATTTTAGTATGACAAAATGCGAGTTTAAAGTTGCTAGAAAATTGCCTTGATTTTTGGCAATTTTTTTAGTGGAAGGTATTGCTCATTTTCTCCATACAAAAAATTGTCGAATATACTTTGTACGGAAGAACTTGCGTGAAAAAAAAATTACCAAAAATCAGCGCGTTTTTCTATAGACTTCAAACTTGCACTTTGTCATACTTGTTATGTTTGTGTGCAAATTTAATGAATTTTCCCGAGTTTTGCACAAAATTTAGAGATTTTATTATTTTGTTTTCTGGTGTAGAATGAACAATTTTTTTTTTTAAAGTATCCAAAATAAACTAGAACAAAAAACATTATACATATTGCGAAAAATGCACTGTGCCAATACTTCTGTTCGTCACTGTATGTAATTGCTGATGTAAGGTACAAGCTGACTTTCCCCTACTGTCGAATGCCTACTAACAACACTCTGTTACAAAATAAAAAACAAATTGCACGAACGTTTTAAGTGAGCTAGTACAGATCATAGAGCTGGCCGAGTAATTCACGAAACTGTTTTCAAAACTATCCTAACACTCTCAAATTCTTAACTTATGCTTAAAAAACCATTTTCACATGATTTTCGGCACTAAACTATTTTTAGCTCGGTTATTTTTTTTTACCAAATCTTAAGTTCTTATATTGGCCTAGAAAGAAGAATGTTTGTAAATATGTGGAAAATTTTTTGAATAAATCTGAAATTTACATCGATTCTTATTATTTTCCCAATTCACCAACATTTTTTGGCAAAATTTCAAGAGGAAATAGTCTCTCTAATGTCATTACTTCAAAAAGAATGTTTAAATCCGAGTTAAACTAGGAACCATTGATTAAAATGACAAAAAAAAAATAAAATTATGAGACCAATTCAAAGTTTTCTTGATTTGAACTAGATGAACTACTGAAACCTCATCTCTGTTCGGAGTCGGCGTAACAAATGGCACAAATTCAAATTTTCCCAATTTACTCGAAATTTTGAGGGTGTATGAGTCAAACGGGCTCCAGATTCGGATTCAGCGGGACGAAATACACGTCGGAAGGTGGGTCTGGTTAAATGTGTGTGATGGTGTGATTGATAATTACTATCTACCCTACAACTATTCATATACACTGAGAAGAAAAAATCAACCAAAAATTGGCTAATATTACCAAATTCAGACTTGAAAAGGAATCAACGTGATTTTTGGTTAAGTTTAACAATACCTTGGTTGATATTTTCAACAATGATTTGGTAATATTAATAACTCTTTTGTTTACATTAACCAAGCTTTTGGTTGTCGATTTTTTTCGTTTGAATACGCTTATGTTGTGCACTTCACAGGCGTTTTTCATAATTCGGAGATACAAAAGAAAAATTGTTATTGCCATTTTAATGTGCTACCTCTGACCGAATTTGAACCCGCACCATCTTCTGACAGTTAGCAAATAACAGCAAGCATCTCTGCACACTCAGCTACAGTCGCTTTACAAATCTGCCTTCAAATCTTCAACTTGCATCAATTTTCTTCGTCGTTTGATTTGGTTCTGTACTTCACAGAGGCTTTTTCGTAATTAAGAAAACCCAAAAACAAAAAAAAAAAATAAAAACTATGTGTTGCCGCTGACGGCATTCGTACTCGAGCATGCTGGGTGACAACAAATAACAGCGAGCACCTTTGCACGTTCAGCCACAGCCAGACCTACGAAGTTGTTTTCAAATGTTCAACTTAAATCACATTTCTTACAATCGGTGAACTAACCATGAAGAAACCAAACAATAACTTGGTTGAAAAAACCATTGTGCTTTTGGTTCAGTGTACACCAGATAAAGCTTCCAA